ACTATTATTTTCTCAGCATTATGGTATTTGCAAGTTCATAGAGTGGGATTCAGAAGTGGTCTTAGTGAATCAAGTGGTACAGTATACCAGGTATCATTGGCTTTCAATTTGATGTGGGCAAAGAGGATGAATATCATACTCTATCCTAAACACAGCTGTGAAGTAGCCAGTATAGCCTAGGATTGGGACAGCTCATTCGGACCCAAAAATAAATGATAAAATGGTTGGCTGTAAGGTTACCACCCGTCCTGTTTTTGAGCCAGTTATTTAGAAAATAAAGCTATAAACCCACTAACAGCCAAGCCTAGATTGTTTGAACACCAGCATTAACCTGTTTGGTGAGACATAGTAAGAACTGACGATGCTGGAGTCAGAGATAACACAGTGTGGAGCTGGAGGAACACAGCAGGCCAGGCAGCATGAGGAGAAGGAAAGTTGACGTTTCGGGTCTGGGACCCTTCTTCCCGACTCGAAATGTCAGCTTTCCTGCTCGTCTGATGCTGCCTAGCCTACTGTTAACCTGCTTAAGGTCACTACTGATATATCAGGAAACCTGGGTGCAAAAGGAATGAAAAGATTAATTTCCTGTGTATGTTGCTGCGTCGTGGTCAGTGCAGAAACAATTATAGATGATTAACGTTCATTATGGATAATTCCTCAGCAGCATTGCAAATCTCAAACTCAAGCCAAAGTCCCACAGCTATCTGGTATTATTCTAATTATTTAGCAACCCTTAAATAGTGATTTTTGGGATCTCTGAAGCTGGAAGGGAAACAAAGTTCTGTTCAGCAACCCTTAAGTGCACAATTGAGGAAAGTGTCTTGCATTACTGCTTTCCATGAAGGACATACTTGCTATTAGACATGTATGAAGCGTTGTAAGGATTAGCATACGGGTTTCAGTGTGCTAATGCTGCAGTTGTTTACATCCCATGGTTACTAAATATACTGTATTCTCAGAGAAGACTGCAAAAATTGTTACTAATATTTTGTTTAAATGTCCTTGACATGAACGTGAAGAATTGAGAGGATTCAACCAGTTCTTAGACATTGTAAAATGTGCCAGTAACCATCTGTCACACTAATGTAAAAGCTCTTACTATGGCAGTGCCACGTGCAGTTGTTTTTAATCAATAATTTATTTGGTCTTCCATTTTACAAACACTTAATGCAACGGTGGTAGATGCATGGAGCAGTATGAAACTCATGGTCCTGGGCTAATGTGTTCTTCAAACCTAAATCACAACAATAGCAGAGGTGCTTTATAGAAAAGGTAAGGATTGCAGGTTCTGTGAAAGCAACACAAAAACGCTCACGTAGGAGTAATAGTCCCTGCTGGTATTAAAGCTTGCCTTGTGGAAATAATCTTTTAGGGGAATTAAACTTGTACATCATTAATTCAAATTCTGTCCTGGTATCAATTCCTGATCTGGGGCTCCACGCCAGTTGTGACAATAAAGTCGTACATGGATTGGAAAAGCCAGTTAAGATAAAACTACCACATTCCTGTCCTCCAATCTAGAGAGTTTGATTCCATTTTTGACTATTTTATTCCTTTATGGGATATGAGCGACGCTGCAAGACCAGCATTTGTTGCCTGTCCTTAACTACCCACTGAAAGGGCTGGGTGAGAGACTGTTCAGGGTAATTAAGAGTCAACCACATTGCTGTGGGTTTGAAGTTACATACAGGCATGATCAAGGAAGGATGGCAGATTTCTTTCCTCAAAGACATTAGTGAACCAGATAGAATTTTACAAGTGTCGTTTCATGGTCCTCATCAAGACTAGCGTCATATTCTAAATTTATTAATTGAATTTAAAATCACACCAACTACCATGGAGGGATCTGAATCCATGTTTTCAGAACATTAGCTTGGACCTCTGGATTCCTCATCCTGTGACATTACCATTATGCTATCATTTCCTCCTCATGAACCTCCCACATACCTTGGGAGGATCTATACGAACACTTGTATACAGAATCAGCCAGCTAGAGCACAAAGGTGAAATATTTAGCCAACTATGTCTCCATTAACTCTGCAGAAGGCAACTGATCCCCTTGATGCAGCCCAAGTGTATTGACAAATCCTGTTTTCAATTAACTTTCACAGTTTCATTCCAGAAAATAACCGTGCAGCCAATACCAAACGCAGTCTGGGTTGAACT